CCTTTTTGTGCCTTCTTGACGCTGTTTGCTTCGCGCACACATGTTAGGCCATGCTTCAGCAGCCGGATTTGTTAGCAATCCTGCAAGCTTCAGCCTTAATACCTTCACACAAGCATTCTTATCATTGCCAATTTGGTTCATTGTGGTGATCAAAGCTTGTATTTTGGTGCATGTAAGTGAGTATGGATATAGGCTATGGACGTGCATGCCCGAATGCGCAGATGCGACCTCCGAAATGGTGCAAGATGCCCCGGAGACAAATGGGAGAGACCGCCAACCATGCACACTGTAATAATAAGTTCCTGTGTTTTTTTTCAAACCTTTTTCTCTTTGCTGCTTTGGTATCTCAGATGTGATGCCACTGGAAGTTGCTGTTGCTGTGACCTCAAAGCTCAAACAAAAGAAACACTGGCTTGGATCTACACAAGATATCATGTCTTTGCACCTCTTCAAGTAGCACACCTCAGTCCCACTTTCAACAGCAGCCGGTAGCGGAACCAATGGGCTCCACGGTGATCAAATCGGAACATTTGGTTGGCAGTTGAAGGAAAGTGATTTCACTGTGGAGATTTGGCCAAAAAAATGCAACAGATGCTACTAAATAGTTCAAGGGCCTCAAGAGGATGCTCTTCTTGGAGTCTGCCCAAGTCCGTCCTGGCTGTCCATCAGAAAATGCATAAAATAATGCACTGACATGTGCGGAAGCTTATACTCTCATGTCGTGTGCTCAATAAACCAAACCTGACATTGCCATAGTGAGTAAGTGTTTGCTTTTGTTGCGGCTGACCTGGCATGTTCAAGTCCCTGGGGTCAACCCATGATTTTAAAGAGGCACGTTGGATGGACAAGGGAGCAACAAACAAGGAGTCTTGCAGACCGAAACTGTTCAGCCGCAACTTGCCTCCCCGCCATAGAATGAGGTGTTCTTCACAGGCGTGCGGTTGGTTGGAACAAACCCAGGCGTGACCTCTCAAACCAGCGAGGGCCTCGCCTGTGCAGCAGACGCCTCTCATACAGTTTTGTGTAGCTTGTAGCTGACTCCTAGCATAGACGTTATTTTGGTGCCATGTGGTTTCACATTTAAACAACGTCCGCGCGTGTAGAGAGAGTTTTGGGAACTCAGAGAGGGAGATGGAGAGGGAACGGTACATTGAAAATAAACACATATTATTACTGTAATATGTTAATTAAGATTCTATAATTGAGCACAACACACTTTGTAACGTTGCTGTTTGCCCTGGTCGTGGTCGTCTAATCGCAAGTAAGTGTATTGGCTGGAATGGTTGGTTTGCGCGTTTTCTTTTTGACCTCTCCACGTACCTTTTCTTTGATTGCTTGGGTTTTTCTCTTAGTTGTGCTTGGGCCGGATTCTCGTGTTTGTCCATTGACATGTTGACGTGGTGCTAGGCGCGTGACATGATAAAAGTCGGCATATCATGGGATCGAATTTCCATGAATTTCCAACATAACTTGTGTTGGCTTGCGCTGCTGTAGGCGTCCAGAACACTGAACACCAACCCATTTTCCTGTCCACGTAATTAGTCTTTTATGGGCCGCATTGGGGTGTCATTTCTTGCAGACCTGCTGACCCTCATGACAACATCTAGTTTTTGTATTGCATCTGGCGTGGTTGTGCACCCAGCGCTAAGAGATGCTAAGAGCAAAAGACATGAATCATGCCATGGGCAAGGGGAACTTGAAAGGGAATGTAACGGCATAATCTAGCAGATCAGGTATAGACACACCAATGCCTCAATGCCAATTCAATATCGTTGATTTGGCCGAAATGCATCAAGGCTTGGAAGATGTTGTGCACTGGACCCTTTTCGAGCCCCAAAGCATCCTATGTTGGACGCCAAGGGGGCCAAGGGTGAGCAGAGCAGAACATGCAATTGAGTTTTGCTTACTATTCATGCATTGCTAACGTTGTTTACCCCAAGACTGTGACTACATGTGCCTTTGCAAGCTGTGCTTGCTGCAGGCCTTGCTTGCATTTCACAAGTCCATTGTGGATTATAGTCTATTGAGGCTTCTTTGGCGCCAGGCTCAGCATGTTTGTTGGCAACGGTCACCAATTTGCAATTTGGACACCGGCTTTGTGCCCCATGCAAAGCCATTATGCAATCTCTACAAACTACAAACTAAGGTGCGGGTGGGCTACCTACGTAGAAGCAAAAGCTCGATTGACAACAGGAAGCTCAAAGGTGGCTGAGAGTTCTACTTGGGCATAGTTTGTAAAAGATCCATTGAGCAAAGTGCAAAAGGTCAGCGCTCTCGATCTTTGAGCCAAAATGCCAACTGGAAACTGTCAGAGTCATTGTTCTTCCTTAAGGGTGCCTAGCCTTATGACTAAATTTGACTGTAAATATTTGAGATTCTGCATCCGCTCTCACCAACGATATCAATCCCCAAAACGGCCTATGTGAAAGCTTCCACGCACGGGCGGGCCCCCCAGTTTTGCAGTCGCCTAGTTGGCCAGATCATGCCAGATCCACTTTGCGATACTTCGGTCTCAAGTTCATGAGTTGCCAAATCCAAAGATGTTTCGCCTTCTTACTTAGATCTCAGCATGTGAGAAGCCAGAGGCCACCTCCTTGCTGAAGAAGCTCAGAAATTGGTGCACGCTTTCGCACTTGACTCAGGTGAAGCAGATTGAGTCAGTTCAGCTTCAGTGTGGTTTGGTCAATGAATTGCTCCGGTTTTGGTTGATCGGGCACCCTTGCGGCACCTGTGGCGATATTGATCAAAGAGATTGTAACATCGGATGATTGGGGTGAGGAAACTCGAGCAGAAGCATCACATTCTCAGATTCTAGCATTCTCAAAGACTTGTTTGATACTTCGGATTCATTTCATGCCAGTGAGGCATGTTTTCTCCGATTGGCAAGCTGCCACAGCAAAGGTGCGGTGCATTTGCTTGGTAACCTATACTTTATGAGCACATGTCACATATCACTTGTTGCCCGAGTCAAGCCAGAAGGACATCTCAGTCTGCAATTAGTTGACTATCCATCCATTCGATCTATGAGGCAACTAGGGACTAGCCAATAAGCCGTGGATATACTGAGACGAAGTGAACGCTCAAATTACCTGACAATTGGAATCGCATTCTGGTGAATTTTCATCTTGAGGGTGCTATGTCTACATTGTAAAGTTTTCCAAAGTTTCTGCATTTGAGCTATTCGTAGCTTGACACAGGTGTGGTTGCCCTGGGAGTGTGATGTCCCCGCAACATATCTCACCATCTTGAGGTGAAGGCTGCAGTTTGTGAAGAAGGGCTCCGCTGCGGCAGGTGTGTTGAGATTCGCACCAAAAGTGGATCGAAAAGGAAAGAGGAAAAAGGGCGCCAATTTCCCTAAAGAAACCCAATCCCTGACCTGCCCCCTACCTCTGCTACCTTTTCACCTCCTAGCGCCTCGTTCCCCTGTCCAAAAATAGATTAAACAAAAGAACCAGGAAAGGCAATTCAAACCAGCAACAAGAGAGGATGTCTGAGTGTTTCACCTCTTTGACCCTTGAACGCTGGAGGTTCGCAGCAGGGCACTGGATCCGAGAGCTGGAGAAAGCTGATCTCAGTCTAGTCCTGCTTGCGTGGCGCCACCTGGTTGAAAGAATTCAGAGGCATCACTGAGGATCGGATGCTGTCAAGTCCTGTGGCCAATCTCAGGCTTTTGCCATAGCGAACAAGTGCTGTACGCCCAAAACTCAACTGAGACCCAGGTTGCATCAGAGCAACATAACACTTTCCTTGGTTTTTTTGCGGGGAAGTTCATCTCGTCAGGCGAAGCTACAGAGGCTGGACCCTCAGCGCAGCTAATATAATAGCATCGGAACAGGTCAAAGCGCCTGTATGAAGTTGCAGATGCTGAAAGTTTTGGGGCCTTTCATGATCTACAAGGGTTGGTGTAGGACTTGATGTTCATGGAGTCAGATTGATGACCGGGCTTTTGCAGGTCCGGCAGGCCCAATCAAAATATTATAAGATATGTAATTTATGGAAAAGTACACACTCAAAGAGATGGACATGGGATAATGCAAATATATGACAGACGATGACACAATCCCCAAATCCTGATGCAGGCTATTCGCAAGCAAAGAGCGACAAGTAACAGACCACTCCAGACTCAAAGCAGACGTCGGCTCAGATGCATAGGGTTGCACCAAGTTTTGTCTATTGACGTGTTGTATCTTTTTTCCGAGGAGCGATCTCTTCGTGCTGCATCTGCGGCGGTTCTTCGGAGTCTTAATCTCGGAAAACTAGTAGACGAAGGAACAACGACCGCTGCTTTTTATATAGTCGACTATGTTTGACCAGAAGAGTTCCATTTGGTTTCAAGTTGCTCACAAGGCCGGAGGAACACAAACTATTTACTGTACTTCATGGCCTGGCGTGACGCTGTGGATAAACATGAAGAGGCTTTGCAAAATTCCGAGGCCAGTCCAAGCAGCACCTGAAATATGAATTATCGGAAAGGGGTAGTAGAAATGCTACAGCAAGCTTGCGGACTGGATGGCGTTTGCCACAGTCTTTGCACTTGGCTCGGGTATATTCTTTAAGTTGTTTTCTTCATTCAGCAGGCGCAGCACGCAGCTGCATATCGACAAGGTGCTTGCAAGGCCAACTGCGAAGGAAGCCCAGGTCACCAGATGATTGAACACTGCAGATATCAGGCGGCAACACTTCTCCAAGACGAGTACGGGCCTCATTTGTTTGGTTGAAAGGCAGACGACACCATTGCTGCACTCGAATGGCTATTTGTGATGGGTGCTGTGTGTCAGATATATATATATATATATATCCCCGAGAAGTTGTGCGCAGACCAGTGCGAACATCCAGTTGTGAGGAGAGCGGTTTGGGACTTTGTATTCAACTACATCATAACATAACAGTTTGCCATGTCCATGGCCTAGAGTGTTTCCACTGTGTTCGTGCTCCCAATCTATTGTGTTCTGCATTGCTAGAAAATACTTTGACCACATAGACGAGTGCAATGGATACACATGGCTGACGGGGGCCTCAGTGCTCAGTATTTGAGCAGCAACCCTGATGTGGTGGCCAAAGAGGCTCCTGGAGATTCCATCAGCAGCCTTGCATGGTCACCGGTACAAGATGTCATTGCAGCAGGCTCTTGGGACAAGTCTATTTACATTTGGGAGGTGAATGGCCAGGATATGCTTGCGCGGACGAGCTATGTGCTGCAGGCACCGGTCCTTTCCTGCAGCTTCAGCAGTGATGGACTGCATCTCATTAGTGGTGGCTGTGATCACAAGGTTACAATGCGTGACCTGCAAGCACAACAGACGATTGAATTGGGTCACCATGAAGAACCGGTCAGGTTTGTTTCTGCACTTGAAGAGCTCAAACTAGTGGTGTCCGGCAGTTGGGACAAGACCTTGTGCTTCTGGAGCCCTCAACAGTCCAAGCCGGTCTTGAGCGTTCCACTGCCAGAGCGGGTCTTTGCTATGGATGTGAAGTATCCGTTGATGGTTGTAGGATGTGCTGATCGGCAGGTGCTTACCTACGACTTGGCGCAGGGTTTGAAGACACAGTTGAACTCAACAAACTCAATGTTTAGTGGTCTCAAGATGCAGACTAGATCTGTCTCTTGCTTCCCTGATAGAACAGGTTTCGTGCTTGGTGGCATTGAGGGGAGATGCTCCGTGAAGGGCTTGGATGATCAGTCCAAGACTTTTACCTTCAAGTGCCATCAGACACAGGGCTCCATCAGTGCAGTAAACGCATTAGACTTTCATCCAGCCAAGCCATCCACGCTGGCTTCTGTAGGGGGTGACGGTAGTTTCATCTTCTGGGAAACTACACAGAGAAAGCTCCTGAGGAAGTTCGATGCCAGCAGTATGTCGCTCACCGCAGGGAAGTTCAATTCCACAGGAAGCCTTTTTGCGTATGCTGTGTCTTACGATTGGAGCAAGGGACATGAGGCCTACCATGAGAACTTGCCACGGCAAGTTGTTGTTCATTCCTGCAAGGAGGATGAGGTGGCTTGCAAGACGTCGGAATCATAAAACAAGGAGACAAGCAATGCCTTGGCGCGGAGAAAATGAGAGAGCGAGAGAGGGAAAAAGAAAGGAGAGCACGCGAGTATGAGAGAGGGAGAGAGGGAGAGATAGAGGCTTATTCATGGGGATTTGCTTTTCCTACAGGGCTAGACTACCTGCAAGAATCTGGGAGCGCATTGGATTTGAAGAGTTTGAATGTGTTTGAATGTTGTGTCATTTTCTGCCGTGGGACCTGCTACGCTATTAGGCCATGTGCGCCATTGACATTTCGGCGAGGTGTGGATGCATTGGCATTGGCGAGGGGTGTTGGCAAAAGAACATACAAGAACCCCCTCTCCTTCAAACCAGCAGGCCCAAGAGACTCAAACAAACGAAGCCATGGTAAACCGTTGTGGCTTGCAGTTCAAACAAGGTAGCAAACCGTGGGTTTGTAGCTTCAGTTCACAGGAGCTTTGCTGCAGCTTTGCTGGGGCGCCTGGCGCAACAGCAGTGCAGGTCCAATGGCACTATGATTTGCAATAGAACATTATATACAGTATGACATTTTATACATCAAAAGAAACACTTGGAGTGACGCCCTTCGCAAGGCAAACTACTTTGGACTTTGAGATCTGTGTTCAGGGCCCACGAAGCACAATCCATAGCACATCGCTCAGGATTCAGAGTGTACTTTGACCCATCACTAGTGGACAAGTTGAGCAGTTGGCCCAAGCTTGCTGCAGGTACGGACAACGCTTTCAGCTTGGAAGCACGAGTGCAGGCGCCATTGAAGTAGCATAAAAGCGTGTTGAGCCATGGACCGGCACATCCAACTGGCCTTCATTAAACGCCGGTGCCAGCCAGGACATGCCAAAGTCTGCTGAGGGATGAACAGTCAAAGGCGAAGAAATGGTTTGTCGAAACGATGTATGAAATCACGAAAGCTAGCACCAGCTAGCTGGAGTTGTTCTTGCTTTAGCAAGTGAGGGGCTGGAATCCTCGAGAGCGCCGCATCGCGTGAAAACTTCATATGTAGGGGGGCCGCACCCCCCCACCCCGCGGGTTCAACTCCTCCTTGGGACGTCTCTGGGACGTGTGTATTTCCGTTGGCAGGGGGCTGACTGTTCCTGTGGCGGCAGGATTTGGACCCTCACCCCTGCCCTGCTGGCTTTCGTCACCAACCCTCGGCCTCAACTCTACTACTTGTACGTCCACTGTTTGAAGAACTCGAGAAATGTACAAGAGCACTACGCACATGAAGGTCCTCAAACTCAAATGTTATAGTTCCAGACCTCCAAAGTCTCTCAAATACCGTATCACGAAAAGCTACGAAAAGCGACTATATATATAAGCTCAAGGACTCAAGGATTGTTCGACCTTTAAACATACCTTCGGATTCCATCTAAACCTCTTGACTCGTTGCAGACACACACCATGCAGAACCTAAGTGGAGAATTGCATGAGCCAAGCAAGTTGTCTATAGGTGTATTGTACATTATTCTTGTGTTCTTATTTTTACTACTCCGGGATGCTTGTGAATGCACATGCATAAAGAAAGCAGCAGACTTGGCTTTGTCCGAGGAAACTATATACAGTTACCTTATACAGACTTCTGAACAATCAGAAGTGTGTCACGGCAAAAAATGAAGTGCTTCCGCCCCATCAGCTTTCGGGTATTGGCTGGAATCAGCAGCGAAACTGGCAGGTCAAGTTCGTGCGGCTGTGTTTGGCAGCTGCTTTCTTTGTTCGACGCCAAGAATTTAGAAGCGTCAAGATGATCCACAGTTGTGTGCATTGATGTCGTTTCCGCTACCTTTTCCAACGACCAAGGGCTGGCAACTAGTGTCCTCCGCTTCAAGCTTCTTGCGCAAAGTCGTACAGGTCTCACAGAGAATCAATCTTGTTGTTGTTACAAAGCGTGACAACACTGGGAAATGTTTGAGAAATATTTGCAAAGCACGGTTGGATCCCATGAAAGGCTGTGTGAACTTCCCACTTTCCATGATAGGCCACTGCTGACGCTAGATGTCAAGCGGCCAGTGTAGAGGCTGCTGGCTCAGTGACAGTTTCAACAAGAAGGCAAAGACAGGTTGTGAGGACCTTTGGTATTCATGGTGCTTCTCAGACGAGAACGGGGTTTGAATCAATTATCACCTCAGGTGTTGTCCGTGGTGGTGAAGGAATGGGGGGTGCTGACCAAAGAAGTTCGTGCCACTCCAACTCAAATAAAGAAGGCTGGGTTTGAGGTGGATATATGTTCATGATTCATGCAATTTTAAGCTTTGTGTTGGTTAATATAGACTGCCTGTACATGCCTGGACCATTTTGAGCGTATACTATCTTGACCGTAGTTAGCAGAGCATTGCGTATGCGGGCGTGTTCACATGTTTTTTCGTCAAAGTTGTTTTCAACAAAGTGTCAGGCAATGCTTCAGCAGCCGGACCTGTTTGCAATTCTGGAAGCCTCAGCCTCAGCTTTTGCTGAAAGCCTCACTATTTTCTGACGACCTGGGGTGGTTTCTTTCAAATGTTTTTCTGCGATTCGTGTTGGTGTCTCTCATCTCTGGTAAAATTCGTGGTTCTGTGATCATTTGCGATGATGTGGAGCGCTTCTTCAAGGAAGCTTCCCCCGCCGCCTTGTAGGGTGGCGGGGGGAGCTTCCTTGAAGAAGCACGAGCTATCCTGCGTCCTGTTGGTAGTAGTGGTAGCTGCCTCTCCCTTACTTAGCTATCGTTTGCTACTACTATATAGCTACTTCCTACCTCCACTCGCGGCCTAGCTCCCCTTTAGAAAAGGTCATTTTTGTTTGTGTCAAACACCTTGGGTGGCTTCTGCCTTCCGCCGCTTCTTTGACCTTGCCACGGCTCTTACTGTCTCCGTTCTGTGCCGTAGATCTTGCCAAGCTACTACTAGCTAGAAGCTACTAGGTCATCACAAGTAGGTTGGAGGCCATCGCTACTAATTAGAAACAAGAAGCTATCCATGGCACCCTTCTGGCGATAACTTTGTTGTTTCAGTCGGTGTTGACCTGCCTTCAGCGGGCACCTTGTACTTGCAAAGTCCAACATTCGAGGGCATTCCATTGGACAGGGCAAAGGGCAGAAGGTTAAGTTTCCCTAAAAATCTAAGAACCCAATCATTAGGAGCAAGGGCGCTACTAAGAACCCAATCATTAGTGCGCGCGCTTCTTCAAGGAAGCTCCCCCCGCCCTCGGGGAGCTTCCTTGAAGAAGCTTGAGCAATCCTACGTCCTAGCTAGGAGCAGCTAGTCGCCCATACTTAACTATGGGCGGGCTCAAAAATCGCAGTATGTGCTGGTAGTCCGCAGAAGTTCTGCTTGATCGCCGAGGCTTGGAAGATGTTATGCGCTGGGTCTTTTGCAAGTTGCAGCGCATCTTGTGCTGGGCACCAAGCCTCCGAAAGCATTCATGGGCGGTGAAGAGAACGTGGCACAACAAACAAATGAGACATCAGTTTGTTGCAGCACTGAGCAGTATCCGCCGCTTTTTCCATTTGCAGTTGGCATTCAGTGCATTGCCATTGGCCAAGAGCATGACAAAAGCGTAGCTAGTACAAGCCACGCGCTTTGCAGGCGTTGCTTGCCTTTCACAAATCCGTTGTCGATTATAGCTTCTTGCGGCTTGTTTGGAGCCAACCTCAGCATTGCCGTTTCACATTTTGGACTTTGGCTCCAAACACTACTAATCACTACCACATCTTCGCTACAAACTAAGGTGTGGATGGGCCACCTACGTTGAAGCAAGAGTACATTTGATGACCAGATGTTCAAAGGCAGCTGAATCAGCCTGGTTGGGTGGGAATAGTTTCCGGAAAGCAGGGCATCAGCTGCTCAGCGGCTACAAGTGTCTTCTTGTGTAGGGTTCCCGGAATGTAGAAACAGGCTACATCCTTGCTGGAAAAGTTCAGGAGGTGGACCACACTGGCGTCGGCAACTCAGGCTTTTGAACTGGTGCATTTACTCTAATGGTGCGGAGCAATATACTGTAATATGCATCACTGCAGTTTGGTTGTTTGATCGCTCCACCTATGGACGCCCACGGCTGGTTTACGGGTCTATATGAGTTAGTATGTTTGCATGTCAAGTGATTTGTGTTATCCACCATGCGGTCGTGTGCACATTGGTTCTACTGACTACTGAAAGCTAGTTGATCGCCCGAACTAGATTCATGCCAGTGAGGCAAGCTTTCTCCAATTGGCAAGCTGTCACTGCCCAAGCATGCATGCAGCATGTGCTTGCAAATCTGCGGGACATGTTCAACCCAGCACAGAAAAGGCAGAGCACCTCAGCAGGTGAGCATCCAAGAAATCACCCTTCCAGGAAGAGGATGCTTTGAACTGCCACATGCCCCCCCACGGAAGTGCAATGTTGCAATACTTGTGAAACGAGTGTTTAGCTTGTCTGAGAGTAGCTTGCTTTGCGGCCGTGAAGCGGTCTCACCATCTTCAGGTGAAAGCTGCTGGAGTGCTTCGCTCCGGCAGGCACGGCGGGTCGCGAATAGCGATGGACACCAATAAATATATGTATATATAATATGTTTTTGCGATTGCCTCCAACCTACGGTAGGTTTTTGTGCTTTGCTTTTGGTGAGAAGCTTCCTTCGAAATCCTTCAAACATTTGTTGAAGGCTTGCAACAGCAGAGCACTGGACACGAGAGCTAGAGAAAGCTGACCTGAGCCAAGTCCTGCTGGCCTGGCGCCACCTGGTTGCGTTTGAAGGAAGTGTTCGGTTTTGTTGGGCCCTTTGTACCACAGCTGCCGTAAGCTTTTCATGTTTGCTGCCGTGGGTTGTCGCGAGCCAGCTGGAGTTGACGGTTGGCTGTGGGAGGTGGAGTGCTAGTGGATAATGGAGGTCTTTTTCGCTGGAGAGCAACGGACGCAGACAAGGGCAAAGTAGGAAGAGACGATAAAGAGAACAGAAGGGCTGAACGGTTACCATGTCGGAGAAGCACAAAGAAGCTCACTGACATGCTGGAAGAAGCCAATCAAAATGAGTGTCTCAGTCTCATCCTAAAGTCGGTCTAGATTCTAGATGCGTGACCGGGCAACTCAAAAACACAATCCCGCCACAAGACTTAAGGCCTAGGGATAGTTTGCCGTGGGACCAAAGGAACGCCAACATCTTCATGAATCCACGAGGGATAAATTTCGATGACACAACAAGAGTCGTACTTCGCTTGCTTCATTGCAAAAGAGTTTGGAAGTTTATGCAAGTTTGCTGCTCGCCTCTCTATTTTCCTCCTTTTGGGCTCGCTTTGTCCAAGTCTCCCTGGAAGTGTGTTTGCTTTGCTTGCCCTTATCAGGCTACTCCATTCCGCGAGGGTTTGAGTCATTTGCTTCTCTGCCAGTTGTTGCGAGACTGTTGTCAAGTTGTTCAGCAGCCACTAAACTCCTCCATAACTTTTGATCCGTGATTTGTTCATTGCCAATGGTGATGCACTTGTTGATCCCTCATGAACATAGGGGCTGAAACTCCATAGCACATGGGCAAGATGTCGGCTTAAGAATGGCCTCTCCCCCTTGCTTGGCCTTTCACTATATACTATATTTACTTTGCTTATGTGTTGCGATGTTTTTAACTTCAGCCCCTTGATTAAAAGAATTACTTTACTTTGAGTGATCCGAATCATGGCATTGTACTTTGCTGATAGCCGACGGTTCTTCTGCTTCAACATCACCTTTTGCTTCATCACCAAAAAAGTCTATTTGGCATATATTCTGGCAAATATGTTAATTAGCATTCTATCTGGCAGATTCTTGCATTCTACCTGCCGTATTTCCGGCATATTTTTGGCATTCTTTGTGGCACTCATTCCGCTACTCTTTCTGGCACATGTTCTCGATTCAATCTGGCAAAAACTCCGGCATTGCATGTTGCATATTGGTAACATGCTTGCGACATGTGTTCTGACATTTTTCTGGCAGGTATGACTCCGCCATTCTATTTGGCATAATTGCGGAGATGCTGGTGACCCGGTGGCGCCCACTGCGATCTAGCGCTCGCGGCCAGGGTCCGGCGGTGCCCATTGCGATCTAGCAGATCTAGCATTCGTAGTTGAGGCCGGGCTGTGCCCATTGCGATCGAGCGGTTGCGGTTGAGGTCCGGTGCCCACTGCGATCTGTCGCTGGGGGAGAGGAGGAGGGGAGGAGAGGACAGTGACAGCTTTGATAAAGTTTGGCAAGCCTCACGTCGTGGCAAAACCTTAAGCCTTAAGAGAAATAGGATTGCCACAACGCATGCAGCGCGACTGGCAATCAGTGGGCGGTTGCCAAGTTCCAGCCCACTTGGTGTTAATACATGTTAATACAACTTAAATCTCCGTGGCAATATCCACTATAAAATCGGCTCACAGAACGCTTTACAATAGACCCCTCAAGGGGATGCTCGATTATTGAATAGTGAATTGGTGGTGTTTTTGATGCATATATATATATAGACACGAACGTCTCCAAAAAATATGCCAATCAACCAAGCTCTCTGTCTTCTCAACATTCATCAAGGCCGTGCAACGTGGCCAATCTCAGGCTTCTGCCATAGCGAACAAGTGCTGTACGCCCAAAACTCAACTGAGACCCAGGTTGCATCAGAGCAACATAACACTTTCCTTGGTTTTTTTGCGGGGAAGTTCATCTCGTCAGGCGAAGCTACAGAGGCTGGACCGTCAGCGCAAGCTAACATAATAGCATCGGAACAGGTCAAAGCGCCTGTATGAGGTTGCAGATGCTGAAAGTTTTGGGGCCTTTCATGATCTACAAGGGTTGGTGTAGGACTTGATGTTCATGGAGTCAGATTGATGACCGGGCTTTTGCAGGTCCGGCAGGCCCAATCAAAATATTATAAGATATGTAATTTATGGAAAAGTACACACTCAAAGAGATGGACATGGGATAATGCAAATATATGACAGACGATGACACAATCCCCAAATCCTGATGCAGGCTATTCGCAAGCAAAGAGCGACAAGTAACAGACCACTCCAGACTCAAAGCAGACGTCGGCTCAGATGCATAGGGTTGCACCAAGTGTTGTCTATTGACGTGCTGTATTGTTCTTTTTTCCGAGGAGCGATCTCTTCGTGCTGCATCTGCGGCGGTTCTTCGGAGTCTTAATCTCGGAAAACTAGTAGATGAAGGAACAACGACCGCTGCTTTTTGTATAGTTGACTATGTTTGACCAGAAGAGTTCCATGTGGTTTCAAGTTGCTCACAAGGCCGGAGGAACACAAACTATTTACTGTACTTCATGGCCTGGCGTGACGCTGTGGATAAACATGAAGAGGCTTTGCAAAATTCCGAGGCCAGTCCAAGCAGCACCTGAAATATGAATTATCGGAAAGGGGTAGTAGAAATGCTACAGCAAGCTTGCGGACTGGATGGCGTTTGCCACAGTCTTTGCACTTGGCTCGGGTATATTTATTTTCTTTAAGTTGTTTTCTTCACTCAGCAGGCGCAGCACGCAGCTGCATATCGACAAGGTGCTTGCAAGGCCAAAACATGAGAGCGGATAAGCAACCTCAGCCCACTTCCACATGCTAAATGCTCCAAATTTACAGCTCTATGCAGGCGGCAAAACTTCTCCTTGAAAACGGGCAGAGGTCTTAGCTTCGCACACACACTTTTTTTTGTTTGTATATGATCAAAAATGTGCTTGTGGGTAAACGTATAGGAGCACCGGAGCACCCTGATTTTGCAGAGGTTGTGCTTTGGCTGTAGTGCGCTGTGTGGGATTTTGTTGTGCCTGGATCTGTCAGACGTTTAGGCAATGCTTTTTGCAGACATTTCGAGGAGGCATTGATTGAAGTATGCCACTGTAGCTCACTCCAACGAAGTGGCAAGCTGTATCCTTCATTAACTTGGCAGGAGCTTTACTGCGTTTTTGCTGGGGTGCCTGGCGCAACGGCTATGCAGGTTGGATGTGTCTAGGTTGCTTGGAAAAGTCAGATCAGCTTCGTTGACAGGCAAGCTACTTCGGACTTTGGGATCAGTGTTCAGAGCCCATGAAGCGCAATCCAAAAGATGGATGGCTCATCGCTCAGAATTCGCATGAAAATTCAGACTGTATCCACATCATTGGCAAAGTTTGCTGCAGGTATGGGTGACGCTTTCAGCTTGGAAGCAAGAGTGCTGCAAGAGCTCGCTTCTGGCAGAAGAGTCTGCGTGGTCCCAAGCTGTGGGATTGAGCCCAGACAACTGGCCTCCAACCTACTAGCGATGGTCTCTACCCTAGTAGCTTCGTGCTACTAGTAGTAATGGCCTCTAACCTAATAGGAATGGCCTCCACCCTATTAGTAGCGATGGCCTCCAACCTACACACACACACACTTTATAGTACTTGTTTGATCTTATTTATGTACTGTTGGTGCGCTGTAGGTGGCCTTGGTCGCATCCACTCGCCTGTCCAAAAAGTACTATTTCACCGCGTGGCAGGTGCGGCAAACTCAACCGTGACGGATTGGATTGGTGCTGTCTATGTCACACTGAAAGCAAAGCCATCATTGGGGCCATGTTGTGCACTCTGGTGGTTAGGCCGCTACGCAGCGCCGGGTTGCCGACGAGTCAGTGGAGGCATTGCAATGGCAAAGCTTTGCAGCCAACTTCATTGGTAGCAAAACGCGTTCGCAAAGGTTGCATGCATTTGCACAACTTCACACACACACGGAGTTGATCTATGTTGATTTGAACTTTGGAAGGCTCTGTCGCGTCAGCTTGCGGAGGGAATGCAGATTGCTGTTGCGTGCACTTCTGCAGCCTTGAAGTGCCAGTCTCTGCTATTTTTCTCTCCCTTGGTTGGCCATGTCCTGAATGACGATGATGATTAGATATCACTAGAAAGCTCAGGCAAGGCTACAGTTTGCTGCTTCAGCATGCCTGGGATGCTTGGATTCAGGCAGGGTTACACCTTTTACACTTGGGTGCCTTTGAATTTGATGTAGAGGCTCGAGGCATCACAAGGACGGACATTCTTCTTCTTTTGCTCAGCATTCTGCTTCTCAAGGCTTTGCCTCGGATGCTTCGCCTTACCACTTCAGGGGCCTTGTCTGTGCCACCGTTGCCCTTAAAGACATCATGGCGGAGAGAGGACGCTTTGTGATATATCACGAAAGCTAGCGAAGCTAGCTGGAGTTACTCTTGCGATAGCAAGGTTTCTTTCGATCGGGTGCAAATCCTAACCCCTGATTTTTCAGGTCGAAGCCCCCCCCCTCCCCCCCTCCCTCTCACTCTCACTCTCAGTCTCACTCTCAGTCTCACTCTCACTCTCACTCTCACTCTCACTGTCTCTCTCTCTCTCTCTCATCTCTCTCATCTCTCTTTCATCTCTCTCTCATCTCTCTCATCTCTCCCTCATCTCTCATCTCTTTCTCATCTCTCTCTCATCTCTCTCTCCTCTCTCCTCTCTCCTCTCTCTCTCTCTCTCTCTCTCCTCTCTTCTGTCTCTCGTCTTTCCGTCTCTCTTCTCTCTCTTCTCTCTCAGGAGGATCCGGGCAAAGAGCCACATAGGACTCTTCACCTGGAATCGTTTGCCCCGCCGAACTTGTGCAAGGCGTCCTGCCTTCTGCCTCCCCTCTCCCCCTCCTTGTCTTCCTCTCCCTCCCTCCCCTCCCTCCCTCCCTCCCTCCCTCCTCCCTCTTCGCACTTCCGACAGTCCGCTCTGCAGGTGGATCTTTGCGATGCCACCGCGACGTCTCCTTGACTGCCTCCAAAAAGAGCGCATGTTTTTTCCTACCTCGCTGCCCTCCACTTTCCCATTCTGGAGCGCTAGCTTTCGCCCCCCCCCTTGGCCTCAAGTCTACATATATATATATATACATATATATATATAGAGTCCAGTGTTGCGCGGGAGGTTTTTCTAAAAGGTTCTCCTGACCTCTACCAACTATGCTGCATACAGGATTTGAGCTTGCAAAGAGCCATGCTGCTCGCCTGGCATTCGGCAGCTGTGGTCCGCATCTCACCCCAGCATCAGGAGCAGAGTAGCTCAACAGCCTTGACAGCAAAAGGAATTTTGCTTTACAGTACTCTTCTAGGTGGAAGTGTTGCCGGCCAAGCTGGCACATGAAGTGAGACTGCAAATATCTCCTTTGAGGGCATCGTGGCTAAGAGAGGACACGGACACGCTACAACTGGTGTTTTTTCAGCTCTCTTCCACCTGCAGTGTTAGCTGAGTCGAAGGACTTGCAGTTCCAGCGGGCCATACTATTCGCTTGGCACATGGCGGTGCTCGTAGCATGCTCAGTGGGTTTTCCCTTTGTCAGGCAGGTCAAAGCTGGATTGCGTATAGTCTTGGAAGCCCTTACTTTTAGATCTTTTAGTGACAGCGGGTGGCATACGGTATACTAGTGCGCTTAAAACAATTTCGTATTGCAATTTGTTACGTTTCGGAAGGCAGGGTGCAGGGGCAATGGTGAGGGTACCGCCTCCAGTGCTAGCAATGTCGGTTGCTACAGGGTGCTGGTTAACAAGGCAGCGGAGGGAGAAAAACAGACAGGTGCAATGGACCCTTTCAGGGGGCCAGAGTGCTCACACTCTCGCTGAGGTGGTTGAGTATTCATCCGACTTGCGGCTGTCATGGCCTTAGATTCTGTATCGCCGAGTGCGTATCCTTGCCGTGCGTCAGGCTTCAGCAGCGGTTGACGTCTGCTGCATCTCATGTCTTCCGCGTGACGACATGCCAGCAGGCGAGCGAGCACTCGCTTGTGCACTTTCTGTTCGCACCACTCCCCAGGCAACTGAGCGCCTTCCATGTTAGTCCTGGGCGTGTGCTAGCTGTAAGACGCAGTCCGACGTACTGCGTGGTGTGTGTAGTGCTGTAGGTCCCACCCCAACCCCCAGAATGCAGATCATGAGAGTGAGCTTGTTAGTGCTGCAGTGTAGTGATGTAGTAGGCCCCACCCCCTCCAGTGGTGAGTGATGTTTTTTAAGAGTGCGCAAGTGAGTGTCCGGCCCAGCGGGCTGGCTGACATATTTTAATCCACCGTGGTTGGCTTTTCCCAAATCAACATAAATCAACCAAACTTGCTGAAGCAATCCCGATCACACATCCGGGTTCATAGGATTTGAAAGATGTGAGCGTTAATTATTCGAAGGGGAAAAAGTTGGTACATTACCCCCAAGGCTAGCCCACCCCATTGTGGGTGCAACACTTGTTTACAAGTCCTTCATATACAGTGGCTACTTTGCGGCAACAATATTTTTACCTTTCAACTGTCACTTTCGTAATTCCTGCGCTTGACTTTGACTACAAAAGTGGTCGATGCATGTGGCTTTCGCACGCATAGTGAAGCTGAGAAGAGGCCGAGCAGTCAGAGGGCTGGATGCGGAGAATTTTGCTTTGCTGGCGAGTCCGGTGCTTGGATCAAGTGTATAGAAGGCCACTTATATACAGAAGCTTTTCTGTAGATAGCCGAAGTTGCGTGTGCGCCCATTTCTCAACAGGTATCAACCTTGCAGCGGTCACAGGACCTTTTGTTCGCTCCGATGTCAACTTGAACAAGATCAACGTTGCTGCCAGCTTTGCAGGAACAAGTCCGTCGTTTGATTGGTAGCCTTCAAGCAGCAGAGAAGGCGTTTTCTTTGCGGCTATGAGCTGTTGCCAGATTAAATCTTCCCGTCCCCAACAACAATGTAAGCAAGGGAGCTGCAAGATCCTGCATTCGCTCAATCTTGCATATCATACCCTTCAATTATCTTCGACTACCAATTCCGTCCAATTCCAATCTTTGCAGAGATTCTGCAAAGACCGTTTGTCAAAGTATGATGTATTGCCCGACACTTCATGGATTTGGGCACCATAGTCTCCATTCTGCAGGCAAGGGGTGTGTGTGTATATATCTATACCCCAGTTTCTTTTTTTGCTCGCCCCTTTTCTGTGCTATGATGTGCTCACGTGAACCATTGCCGCAAGTCTTTTGACTTCGGCTTGCGGAGCTTCTCGGGGAGGTCCAAGATGTCTCCATGGAACCGTGCACGTCCTCCGCAGCGAGTGCACTCCACTTGTGCTCCTTTGCGGGCCATCGTGTGAGTGACGTGCCCGTGCCATGCTCCTCCAACAAAGCTATTGAAAGTTTCTTCCCGGCATCTCGCCAGGATGTAGCTCTTGCACTCAGTGCACCTCAAGTAGGCCTTGTCCAAACGGGAGATGGTGAACTCCCCGCCTCGACTCCCTTCTGAGCTTCCAAGAGGTCATGGATGACCTCAAACCTTGTCTTCTTGGCCTGAGCCTGGGGCACCCAATGCTGGCGAGTGGACTCCATGGCTGTTTTGAGCTCAGTGAGGAGGCTCTTGGTGTGAAGCCTTTGCTTGCAGTGGGAGCATTGAACTCCAGAGCGAAAAGGCATTCACATGTGTCCCTGGTGATCCGGAGTGGCCAGGGGTTTGCCCAAGATTTCCTTCTTGTGCTGGAGGAGGGGAACCTTGTGAGGAGCTGCTCCTTGCTCAGGTCGGTGCAAGAAGTGTGGGCGGTCCTTGAGCAAAATGCTCATGCGCTCAGCCGCAACATGCAAAACATCCCTGGCATCTTCGTCGATGTGTTTTTGAAGGCTGAGGATTTCCTCATTGCGAGACGCCGTAGCAAACCGGTGTGCCACTCTGCCCGCATCTTTCTGAAAGGCCTTTCTGTTGGCATTGGTGTTGTTCTCAGACTTGCCAAAAAGGAGAGGATTGACATAGGCAAAGTCGTCAACGTCAAGACCCTGAAAAAGATCCGGGTATCTCTCATAGGCAGCAGTGGGCTGCCCATCAAAGATGGCGACGTGGGTCTTCTCCTTGACGCGAAGGGCCAAGTGCTTGAGGCCGTAGAAGTGAGCTCTGTCTCTGGTGGCTTGGCCTGGACAGATGCCCTTCAGGGCTGCCACCCGCTGCTTGGTGAAGACATGGTGCGTGCGCAAGACGAAAACATACCTCTTGCGCCGGACATCTTGGCGCAACAGCCAAAGAAATGGCATGGCCATGTGGGATGGCATATGAGGTCTGAGCAGCCCAAGAGCCTTCAAAGACAAAGGTGCCCATGCCCCGTTCCTTAATGTAGAAGATGCTCTGAGCCATTCCCCTCTGCCACAGCTCCGGCTCCGTGCCTGCCTCGGTGCGCTGCTTCCACTGCGCAGGGATGTCCTTGTCCATGCCCTGCTAGAACTTGCACTGCCAGAGGCGGTGCGTGAAGGTAAGTTCATCACCACAGAGGGGACACAGGCCTTCGTGTCGGTGCATAGTGCCCTGGTGCAGCGCCCTCAGAAAATGGCCCCAGGCGGAATGGTTTTGGTGACGATGCAGTCCAAGGGCCTCTCAAGGTCGTGGCAGCCTTCATATCTGGTCAGCCTCAAGAGCTCTGCCACTTGAACTCCTCTTCAAGCTTGTGCTGCAGACCGGGTGCAGTCAGGTATCCCTCCATAGCCGGTGCACTTCCAAGCCTTGCCACCTGAGAGGTCAAACTCGTAATCCATCAAATCCATGCACCATTTGCCATCTGTATTTGACCTTCAGCAGCTGGTCTAAAAGAGATGCTGTGTGCTCTCATCGAAGGAGTGAAAGACCTTCCAGGCCGAATGGAGGTGCTGTTGGTTGATGGAGTCTCCCGGGTCAGGGTGCTGCGGGTTCATGTCATAGACGAGACAACAGAGCCCGAGCGTTCCAAATGCAAACCCCTCACTGGCCGCCATCACCCTGAGCTGCTGTCGCCGTTGTGGGGCCAAGCCGTTTGCTTGCGCCCCCCAGGTCATCACCGGGCGCACCGCACTTTTGTGAAGTCTGTAGCGGATGTTGCGCTGGAGTTTGAGTCTGTAGAGCACTCCAGCTCGGCCTTTGCCCTTGATGAACCTCTTCTTGATCTGGTTGACCCTTCAAAGTCGTGCTGCAGTTGCGTCTGCCCCCAAGTCACGAAGGGCGTTGTACAGCTGAGGGTCCTGCTCCGTGATGTTGAGCTGCAAAGCCTTGGCTGATTCTTTGCTGCTGGTGAGAAAGCCCGTTTTGTCCTTGTTGACCTTCAGGCCAGCCTCCTCCAAGAGCCCATGCAGGGTTCTGAAAGCCAGAACAGCTTCCCGTGCAACATAGTCCGGGTTGGTGCCCTTGATGTCGAAGGAAACATCACCGACCCATGTCTGCAACGCCACTGTAGTGTGGGACAACAGCCCGGAGAGGCTTGAACAGAACCAGCTTTGAGATCGCTGCGCCTGAGGGCAACCTTGGAGGATGTCTCTGGCATAGTGAGTAGGCTTGCCCGCAAGGCCTTCAGCCTGAATGAGTCGAGGACCACTGTAGAGATCCAGAGCCAGCTTGAGGTGAACTGGCGGGTAGTGCAATTCGGTGGATGATGTGATCCAGGTTGACGGTGTCATAACAGCAAGAGAGGTCAGCCAAGCATGTCACCGTGTGGATGGCCCGGTGCTTGCCAATCTCTGCAGGGAGGAGTCTTCCAACAGCAATGCTCAAGCAGCCCCTTCCAGGTCTAGCTTGATCCCATGGAAGGTCGTCGTCGAGGGTGAGCAGTGCTGGATGTCGTGCTTGCGGTAGGCGTTCCACGCTCGGTACAGGCACGATGTCAATGCAAGTGGCCTTTCGATCTTGAAACTCTTGGGCACCAAGGCGATGTTTGTGTATCTCAGCCGGGTCGGCAACAAAGCAGTCTTCTCCATCTCAGTGAGCAGAGAGGCCAGTCTTTCCACCGCTGGATATGGTAGATGTCGTACCATGTCATAAGAGATCCCGTCAGGGCCCGCTGCCTTGTTGGGAAGCTTGCGCAAGAGCTTTTGCAGCGCCGAGGGGTCAATAGACTTGTATGCGCACTGGGGATTGAAGCGGAATCCAGATGTCCCCCACTGTTCTTCTCGGGCTTGGATGCGCTCAAGAGCTGGCAGGTCCTGGAAAGGTCTTTGCCAAGCTTGATCTCTTTGCCGAAGGGTGCGAAAGAGCCCCCGTAGACCCTTCTGATGAGCTTGCTGAAGCCACTGTTGGAATTCCAGGCCAGTGGAATGTAGGACCTGTTTCTGTGCACAGTCCTCCTGCTCCATCACGACCTGCTTCAGCGGCCCTAGGTCTTGGCTCGGATCCTGCAGCCACTGTTGCAAAAGAGCCGGGAAGACGTCCGGGAGGAAGTCATCTGACCCATGGCGATGAACTTCAGTGGACATGTGGTATAAATCGTTGATGACTCCTTTGTGACCAGTGTGGTAGACCACGTTGATCCTGACATTCGGCTTTTCCCAGAAGGCAACAGGCGCGGGAGGTGTGAATGTCGAGTCATCTGAAGGCCGATGTTGGAGCCCCTTCCCAAAGTGGGTGTGTGCAGCAGTTGTGTCCATTTGTGCGGCCCATCTGGCCAGATCCGTGCCCAGGCCGGTGATGAGGTCGTTCATGATGTAGGAAGGACCGTCATCCTCTCTGAAAGAGGTCCACAAGGGAGGAAACTGAAAGGTCCTTCAAATAGTGGGAAACCTTTGCAATAATTGTTGCACTGGTTGAGCCGGCTGCTCACAATCCAGATGAACGCTAGTAGTCCAGCTGGCTCCCATGCAAAGTGGTTGGACCTCCAGCGTCGAGGATTGGGGCCTTGAACTTGCTTTGAATGACCGTGGCTGCCAATGTGTTGGGGTCGTTCTGCCAGTCCCCTCTGATGATGAAGGGTGCCTGCAGATGGTGGAGGTAAGACCTTGGCGCTGTAGGCTAATGGAGGTCCAACCATTGCCCTCCTTGAGGCAGGAGAAGGCAGGATGAGTGAGGTGACGTGACAAAACCTCCTGTGTTCCAGCCTGTGTTGGCAATGCTGAGGATGAAGTTTCTTCCCGCGCGGGACAGTGTGGGTGAGTCGGTGCTCAAGGTGCCGGACAGTGCATCTGGAATCAGTCGGGCCTTTGCCCTGGGCTCACCATTCGGCCACTTGGACCATTTGAGGATGAAGTGCATGGGCCTTCAGGATTCGATCGGCTGGTATTGAGCCGTCTTTTTGTGTTGCCTCCTTGCCCAGTGGGATGACCCGGAAGGCCATAGACTTTCCATCCCCGGCAAGAAAAGTATTGTTTGGCCTTGAGGGCGCCCTGCTCTCCCAAATGTGTTTCCTGGAGAAGGAGCAAAGAAGCAGCCCTTGTCCAGATCCAATCCTGGACCTTCTGCCCAAAGGTGGTGACATTGCCGAAGATGAGGGTCAAAGTTTCATGAGTGAGTTTGCCGTCGCCTTTTGGCCTGAAATTGCTCCACTTCAACTCGAGTGTCTTCAACAAGTTCGTCCTGTGGCTCCCTGACCAACCAAACTTGCAAGATCTCCTTTTTCTGCTGAGGGAGTAGATGAGGGATGGGAGCAGGGTAGTGCTCTTCATCTGCAATCCACATGGCGTTGTCCATCATCAGTATTGATTGGTAGTGCCCATTTTGAAGCCATGTCGACGTTGATTCCATCCTCAGAGAATGGGAGGTTGACATCAGTCGAGAGGTCCAGCTCTGTAGAACGCTTCGTCCAAGTGCCCTCCACCATTTGGAAATGTTGGAGCTGCAGGATGACACCGTCAGGAGCCCCATAAAGGAACTGCCCATTCGCCTCATCAGCCCAACCATTGATGAGCTCGTCCAGAGTGAGAGGTTGGTCACTGGTCTCCTTCCGGGAAGATGATGTTGAGCGGAACCTGGTCTCTGATCTCAGTGTGCCCGCAGAGGTTTCGGTGGAAGCACTTCCCCCCAAAAAAGCTTTGGGAGAATTCCCATAGGAAACCCACAAAGTCCGAGGCGTCCGCTTGCCCAGTTCAAAACGGGCTGAAACTTCCTTCATGTGCGCCAGGCCGGTGAGGAGTTGAGGTTCTGCATCAGACAGAAATTGTCTGACCGCTTGATGAGATCGTCCCCATGCTAAGGACGTGTCTTCAGCAAAAGCACCAGCCCAGCACCATTCCCACAGCATAGGTTTTGCTGCTCCGGGTTTCTGAGGATAGAGGTGAGCGCCTGAGACATTGGCCATAAGGCCCATGTGCTTGTGAATGAGGCTCTGCATGCGGCGCAGGTCAGCCAACACTTGCTGTCCATGTTGAGGAGAGACTGTTTGGGCGTATCTCACGCAGGACTCTTGGAGGTCTTGATCGCCCAAATCATAAAGGGTTCTTTGCCCTGCAGTCAGGGCTTCGTCAAAGTCCAAATCCATGGCCTGAGTCAAAATTTTGGCCAACGAAGCAACAGGGGGGGTCCTGACGGCAGCAGAACCTTTGCAGGCCTGCTCTGACAAAGAAGAACTCAGTGCCCCCGTGGTGCCTCAGCCAAAGACTCCAAGCCGCTAGTGTCCAAACTCCCACCAAAGACTTTCAGTGGAGGTCGTCGACGATGTGGTCCATAGCTCCACGCCCCTTGGAGAGCTGGCTTTTGAGCCTGAAAAGCAAAAATGGACCCAGGTTGCTCTCAACCCCACAACCAAAGTGATCCGCGCGAAGAGAAAGAAGAGAATCCCCGACGTGCCCATGACGACATGTCAAACCCCTGGAATCTGCAAGAATCAATTGCTCTGCGTGAGGCTGTGCAGGGTTACCCGCGCGACTGTCTGTCCTTGGTTTCCGTCTTCGTTTGGCTTCCTCTTCAGAGACAGTGGGCGCCCTTTTCAGCATGTTCTGCAACTGTTGCTGTTGCTCCTCGGTCAAATTGACTCCAAGGGTGTTGATGAACCCTGCAACTGCCGCTGGGACTGGGTCTCCTGCGTCAGCATCAGGCAAAAACTTCAAGGTCTGGCTTGGCCGAGTTGACCAAAGTCATGTACGAAGCACTTGTGGCGTTCAAAGCCTGTTGCTCATTCTCAATCTTGGACTGAATGTTCTTTCATCTCCTCAAGGAGTTCCTGGTAAGCCCTCTTGGTGGCATCAATCTTCTGTTGAAGGCTCTGCTTTCTGTGGGACAGGTCCTTGAGTAAGGGGACCTGGGTCTTGAGCTTGGATGCAACATCTTTCTCCGTGGGTGGAGCAGGCTTCGTAAGCTTTTCCACCAGTTCCCTCACAGTGGGTGGCAGCTGCCATGTTCTCCAACAGCACATCCTTGAGGTCTGGACCCGGAGTAGGAGGCGGAGGAGAGATGCCCGCGTCCTTCAACTTCTGCCTCAAAGAGGGGTCCATGGGTGGCCCACGCGGGAGCCAAGGCTTCCGCAGTAGCCTTCTGGATCTTGGTAAACTTCGGAGGCCTGGACGTGAGGCCTGGTGGTGGGGAGACCGGGTATTTCGATGACCTTTCGGAGACCTGGAGGTTGGCTTGGTGCTGTAGGGTTTGCGCCATGCTCCCCAGCACATACCTAGTAAGCCCTGGAGGATGTGGATGCAAAAAGGAAGAGGGCCGCAGTGCCAGAAACGCAAGATACATCAACACATGACCATGCAGCAGCTTAAGGCGGAGGAGTGTGAGATGGCCCATGGGCTACCCCTCACGGGAGGTGATGCCAACATGGAGTCCAAGCAGGACTTCATCGACCGGCTAGTCAGCGAAGAGAGGCCTGATGGACACCGGCTGAGCGTCCAAACAAACTACATGGTGTGTCAGTGTGGCATGAGGGTACTAAAGAACTCGGCCAGAGAGAAGATCCAGCAGCTCCAACAGACCACCTGTTGGGATGGACTATGGGTGCCGCTGAAGACATGGACCGGCAACCCTTCCCACAACATGTGGCGGCGAGGCAGCAAAGTGCACTGCAAGGTGTGTGGCGGACACGCCATCAGCAGGGCCGGAGGCTGGGAAGCCAGCCGACACCTGCAACGGCCATGCACAACGCGAGAGGGGCAAACGCAGCTGCGGTTGCGCTTCAAGATTCAAGGCCAAGGGGGCCGAGCAGAACAGCTGACCAAAAACGTCCGAGAAAAAATAGGCAGGGAAGACTTACAGTGAGTAGCAGTGACAGTAGGAACCAACTGACTGCGAGTTGGCCGTCCGTTGCCGGCACGCGCCGAAAGGGACAAAATGCCTACGCCGTACTACGTATTGCCGATATAACATATATAACATCGCTTGTACAAGATCTCGGGCAGTTTATACCGACCGATTAAGTTGATGATGGACCAAACTTCTCACCGGGCAGGTATCCGAGTCATCATGGAGCAGCGATCAATCAAGGTGACGGGTTTGTCAGGTTTGACGCAAATCAAACCACGTCACCTGCATTGTCAGGGCCTCGCAGTTGGTTGAACTGCGTCAGGCGCATTCCTTGTTCGTGCGCAAAAGTAAGAGTTGGTCACGCGTGGGTCGAACGCTGAAGGTGTTCAATGCCTGGCAGGGAGCATGCATGCAGGCCATTCGTGAGTACACACGGAAGTTCAAGACCAATTAGTAACAGAGTTGGTTCAAAGCACGACTGACTATGTTTTGCATTGTGCGATCAGGGCGAGCAAGCTCTGGAGGACAGCGAAGGGTTGAGGGCTGGCTTTACTTGCCTGCTGATACGACAAACAAGAGCTTGAAAAGAAGATTATATAGATTGAAGAAGAAAGAATTGCGGCTTGTAGCCTTGTGACATTGGTAGGACGAGCGCAGCTTCATGCTCCGGGAGCCGGGGGGCATGGCGTATCGAAGATCGATGAAGCACTTGTGACAGATGCAATTGAACGCCGACAAGATTTGTCCAGCAATCATCCAACGTCATCACTTGATTTGGTTTCATTCATTGAGGCTGACCAGGCTCCAAGAAGAGAGCCGGCATCGTGCTATTGATATGCTGTGGCCCTGACAGCATTCTCCAGCTTACTGAAGTTCCAAGTCCTGCTGTCACCTTGACCAGTCTCAGGCTTGATGTCATGACTTTGTCCAGAGAAGCAGTAGCTTTGGCAGCAGAGGCCGGGTTGTTAAACATGAGTTTTTTTGCATCGTATATTTTTCACGATTGGTTGAAAATAATCAGTTTCCATAGAGTAGAGAAAGAGCAATAAATAGACAAAGGCAATCTATGTCCCTTCTCCATTCAATAGTCAAAAAACAACAGGTACCTCAATAATTTGTACCTTTGATTAATCAAAAATATATTGATATCATCAATTTATACAGAATATATATTATTGAAATATAAGTAATACATATTCAAACAATACTTCTAAAAAAATATATATAATTGAAAGCATATGTATAATTGATATATTCTATTCATGAAGTTGTTTGCGAGAGGTTTTTCTTTCGCGAAAGCAAATATGTTATTTGCAAAAGATTTTGTATTTTTGTTTTGAATTGAGGAGGAGCTTTGTTTTTTGATGTTCGATGTTTTTTTGTTTATGTATATTTTTTTCGTTTGGTATTCACGAAAGCTAGCGAAGTTAGCTGGAGTTACTCTTGCGATAGCAAGGCTTGCGATAGCAAGGTTTCTTTCGACCGGGTGCAAATCCTAACCCCTGATTTTTCAGGTCGAAGACCCCCCCTTCCTCCCCCCCCCCCACCTCCCCTCTCCCCACATCCCCCCCTCTTCTCCTCCTTGTCTTCCTCCCATCTTCCTTCCCTCCCTCCTCCATTGCTATCCTACGACCTCAACCCTGATGAGCACTTTGCCCAAGCGCTGGCGCGGGGCCGCGATTTGCTACCTACCGAGCTACCAGCAGTGTTGGATCTAGACCTGGCATTTGCGGCCGACTGCCATACTCATTACCGAGGTCCCTCCTCCCTCTTCGCAAGTTCGACTCCGTCCTGTCGTCGCTCTTTGGCATGCGGTTAGCGTTGCGTATCTTGCGGCCGCACTCGCTCACTCTTATTGTCTCACTGTCTCTCTCATCTCTCTTATCTCTCTCATCTCTTTCTTATCTCTCTCATCTCTCTCTCCTCTCTCTCTCTCTCTTTCTCTCTCTCCTCTCTGTCTCTCGTCTTTCCGTCTCTCTTCTCTCTCTTCTCTCGCGGGAGGATCCGGGCAAAGAGCCACATATAAAGGACTCTTCACCCCTGCCTCCAAAAAGAGCGCCGTGTTTTTTCCTACCTCGCTGCCCTCCACTTTCCCATTCTGGAGCGCTAGCTTTCGCCCCCCCCCCCTGGCCTCAAGTATAACGTTGGTATGAAGTAAGGATTTGCGAATTATTTTAGACTAGATAATTGGAATTTCCAACGATTTCTATTTATTATTAATTTTATGTATGTTGTGTATATAATCTTTAGAGTGAATAATGTTATAATGTTTGGTTTAAAAGATATGATCTATTTTTCCGATAAAATTCGAATTAAAAAAGATTGTTGAATTTGATTTAGCTTTATTTATTTGAATAAAAAATTGGATTTATTTATATTGATACGTAAATATATTAAATAAAAATATATAATTTATGTAAATTAATTAATGAAGAAAAATAATTTAATGAAAATTAATTTAATTGATTATATAATATTGTTAAAGAAAATATGTAATTTATGAATTCTTAATTTTCTGTATTTCGAATATTAATAGAATATAATATAGAATTTAAGGATTAATATATAGAAATAATACGATTATATTTAATTATTTATAGAATAATATTTGAAAAAAAACAATGTATTTAATTTCTATTATATTATGTTTTTTATAATGGATTTTGTTATTGAATTTTAAATATTTTTGTTGAGAATTAATTATATATTATTATAATAAATAATATAATTTGATAAAATATGTGTGTATAAATATATATTATTGAAGAATTTAATTTTATTAAATATATAAATATATTTTTTATAAAATATTTAACTTATTTAAAGATTGATGCGCATCGGCATAATAGAATTGGATTGGATGAATAAATTTGGGTTATGTAATTTAAGGGCATATTTAGATTTATATTGCACCTATGTTAGGGCTATGTTGGCCTTATGGGGAATTATTTTGAAGACATATTGAGGATATATTAGGCAATTTTAGTCGTTTGTTAGGGGCCTTTATCTATAAAATATCGATTATGTTTATCTATCCGATGTTATTTACCGACACCACCCTTGAAAAATACCATATATTTTGTATTTCTCCATCTTCGCCGCCGCGTCGCATTTCGATATGTGAAAAGAAACCATATAAACATACCAATTTTTTAATACCTTATATATACGAAATATTGTTAAGTACAACGACTTCAATGACCCGGAAATGGAAAGGCGATTCCCCCCCCTTCCCCCGTGTTGATGACGAGGATCGGCAGGCCTTCCGGACAGGGCACGGACGCGTGGCCGGCGCCCGGATTTTATTTAAAATTATTGAACAATTTCGTATTATATTAAAAATATCGATATTTTAAAATTTCAGACAAAAATAATATTACTAATTTAATTGAAATTATTAATTTATTTTAAATAAAACAATTATAAATCCTTGGAGAATTCGTAATTTTATTTGAATTTTATTTAATAACGATATCCTATAATGATTTTAATATCTTATTATATAATTATATATATTAATGATCTTTGATTCATAAAATTAAAATGTATTCCGGCAATACCAACATATAAGAATATAATTTTTACAAATTATTTAATATAACGATATCCTACAACAATTCTAATAACGATATCCTATCGGAATCAATATCCTAATTCCAAATATACAAATAACCACATTTCTTATATTCCAATAATCCATCGAAAAATGTCTTAAAAAATTTCGATCTATAATATCGTCGAATTATCTTATAATACGTCGATCGAAATATTCGTAAAAATCAATATTTTAGTAATAAATAATCTCCATATCCTCCTAGGATGGCTTACGAATCGACATCATGGATTGTGATTGCACTTCAGATTGTATCGATAATGCATCATTGTATTTTTAAGATTGAATTTTTGAGATGGGCATCATTAAAGCCAGCAATCACAGACTCATCAACATAATTAATGTTCATCATTGTATTATGGCCAAATCCTCGATTTACCTCACGAAAGAATCCATTCTTGAATTTTTAACCCGATTAAACATTGATTCGTCCTGGATTATGATGCACAAACAATATAAATAATTTCAATAGATCTCGAACCAACAACACCTGATTTTCTCAGCCGATGCCATGAATTTGGGATTAGATGATATTATTGCATTGACCCAATCTATCCACAGTGTTACATATATACAGTTGATCCGGCAGCTGACCCACAAGTGGGATTCTTAAATGCCCTGAGCGTCTTCGTGCTTTTCGTCCGATTGGATCGTTCAAGCGCCAAACGCCACATGAAAACATACAATTCCATTCCATATATGCCCGAGGATGTATTCATAGCCCGTCGTGATGTGCTAGGACCTTCATTGATATATATAGTTTGAGGGATCATATCAATCGTAGGGCCTGTCTGCAATTTGATCCGCCAGATGTACGCACGCACTTGCGTTATCGATCCATTCCTAGATTTCTGCTTAATTAGGCCCTTGTTGCGGGAGATTGCACTTATTGTCACAGTGCCATTGCCGTTCGTTCCAATATAAGCATTACCATAATATATATCCTCAACTCATGGGCTATGAAAAACAAGCTAAAGAACAAATCGTTCGCCTGACCAACTTGGACAATGGACGTGGCACACGCATCTTTTATCAGACCCAATGCCGTAATATCCGTATTCACGAATGTGGAAACCTCTTTCAATTTAATGTCATGATTAATCAGACGTCTACTCCAATGCATTTCCCTTACATACCGATCATGCTAAAAGATTCTCGCACGCCTGATCCGCAACCTATGGAGATCGATGTAAATATACAGGCAATTAAACCGGCTTTACAACCTGCCAAATGTCTTCATACTAATCAATATTATTATGGGATTTTTTTTTATATTTCATGGTTTACATGGAATAATACCCTGCAATAGGAATACACTCGTCCATCAACAAATCTCCAAATCCGCACATGAGATTCCGTCTTCCGTTCGTGCACCACATAGCATAAAACAAATGTTGGCCATGCCCCGCATTAAACATCTGGCGTCTGCCGAAAAAATATAAATGTCCGATTTGCCAAGTTCAGCTAGGTCGAAAGGTCCTCATTGCACATCTTCGTAAGGAGCATCAACTTGACCGTCCCTTGAATTTTCCATTTCGATCCGATCGTAACATGCTATCGGATGAATTTGCTTGCAATCGTTGCTATAATATCTTCATCATGGATTTTGTATTTTAATTGTATTTTCGCAGAATTACCTGCCCTAATTAATCAGAATCACGGAATTCCATACCTATTAAGATTTTACTTGCAATCTAGACTAACGAACCTTATATCATAATTGTAGGTATATTCCCGCCAATAACATCTCCGAAAATAAACCGATAAAATAAATCAATCCTTACGAAAATATTTTTCCATCAAAAAATCCATGTTTTCATCCTAATTAAATGCTAATATATAATAAATTCAAAATTATTAATTATATAATATTTCCGCAAATCATCGATAAATCGAAAATTTAATATCGATTCCTATCGTTAACCGCAAAAACGACCCAATTAACTAAAGAATAAATTTGTTTTAATTTTTGCTTCGAATTACGTTATATACGAATATAATTTCAATAATTATTAAATAATATATATAAATTAATAAATTCGACAAAAAAAATAAAAATATAAATTTAATATATTTATTTAAATCCAAATTAAATTAATTCCATCGTTCATTCCGATAATTATTATTTATTATCCGGATCTCCCATATTCGTACCTAATACAATATTCCATTTTCAATTTCCTTTTTTATCCAGTTACCTAGGTCTAGCATTCAATGGAAAGGCATCCATATTCATGCCTAATAATACTTTACTATACAATTAAAGAACTTAAATCATACACTCCATGCCGTTAAGTACGCATTGGCCCCAAGACTAAACGTTTATTCCCTCCCATCATGATGGACGAAGAAATACTTTCCGACGATCGAATCAGAATTACTATTACTATCGGTGCCACTGTCGGCATGTTGCCTCAAGCGAGCAGACTGTCGACGTTTTTTGGCGGCGGATGTCTACAAACGTAGGGCTGCCGCGGACAAGGCCTTCTCGACTTCTGAGCGGAATGTTTCCGGACTGGTGGGGGCGCTTGCTTTTGAGCTGTATGACGACGTACGACTTCATTGATAACCCCAGGCAGGGGCCCAGTTCCTTCCCAGGACTTTTCACTCTTCCAAAAGCCTCTTCGCAACTTTTTCGGGTCAGGCGCATCATTCTCTTCCCCAGCAATCTCTTCACTGTTGCAATGCTCCAGCCATGCAAGTCTGCACCAGGGGAATCACTGAAGAGCTTGTTTTTCAACCGAATCCCATAAGCTCGACCTGGGCTGAAATCCATTTCTAAGCAGTATGTTCTGGTAATAAGGAATCCAGCGCAATGGAAAAAGGTGCGTGTTTCAGGTCGGAACTCACCGGGGTCGAAGGCTTCAATGTGGAACTTTGGCCCGGTAGGGTCATTGTTCACCATATATTGGGCACCAGACCTGTAGCACTGAAGCAAATCCTTAATGCCATGTATAGGCCTGCGTTGGAGGAAGTCTTCGATCCATGCGCAACCCCATCCGAACAAGCGGTCAACTGGGCCTTTACCATATTGTTCTCCTTGGAAATGAACCGTCACCTAGGCGCAGCAGATTTTTTGGGAGTTGAATAGAAAAGTTTGGTGACAAGTAAGGGCGCTACATACTACTACGCAAACCTTTGCCACAGATGTTCCCTCCAAGCAGCTGCCACTTTGTCTTGCGGCAGGTCGCGCAAATAGAAAGCGTAAGACTCCCGGCTGCGAAAATGAGGGCCGCAATCGCAGACAAGGTGGAGACGCTTGACCTTTGACCATTCATATTCGGGTTTGCCTCGGACTACCTCCAAGATTCGCAGCATGAGCAGTTTAGCCATTTGGCTGTCATGGTCCAGCACCTCGGACAGAAGCAAGAAGTTGAAGTTTTGCCGACCAGGCGTGTAAACTGTGCAGCCAAAGACGGTAATGCTCAGTTTGTTCTGAGCGTGAAATTCTGCTCCAGTCTCCTCTTTCGCCATTGGATAGCGCACGTTCTCCTTGAAATCAAAGTGCATGTACGCTTCATTGGCCGGAAGCTTTGCGAGCAATTCCTTGGCAAACTCCCTTTGTTGCTCGGCTGACTTTTGATGCCAAGTGTAGGCTTCCAGCAACTCACAATGGCCCTTTAGCTTATGACATGCTTTGGCTTCAGCCTCGAACAGTTCCAGTCGAGTTCCCCTTGACAAGTCTTTTCGGCTCGGATCAGTTGCGCTCTGCGAGTTCTTTGAGCTGATGTACTTCCAGGCGCGCACGACGACTTCAGACATGCGAGAAGACTGGAGGAGCTGGATGGTGGCACTGTCTGCGTCGAAAGTTTCGAAGTACTTGGGGAAGATGGTCACCAAGGCAGCACGTCTCCTCTTGTATTCTTTCTCGGCTCGAGGAATGATGTGCCTCTTGAATGTCCTGCAGTGGGAGCAAACATCTGTTTTGCGGCCTGGCCGGCGGTAGGTGGGATAATGGACTCGCATCAGCCTTCTGGGCTGAAATGCCGATCTGTTTCCGCAACTCTGGCTCCTCGTTCCAGATACGACCCAACCTCTTTGTCAAGAGCCTTGCGCAAACTAAGCGCTTGACTCCCTTGCTTCGGACAACTACAACTTTGCTGGAATCATTGCTATTTCGGTCGCCTACGGCAAATACCTACGACAAACGTTGCACAATAAAATGCCTACGACCGCCTACGTCCCCAAGCAAGTTGCCTACGCGAGCCTTTTGGAGGTTACATCTTGTATAAGCCTTTTCATATCAAAAAAACTCGGCTCAGATGTTGAAGGCCAACAAAACTCCACCGTTGACTTCCGACGAGATTCGAGTGCTACTGGAGCGTATCGTACATCTTGGACAACAACAGACGGTTCACAAATTCTCAGCTCTCCGTCACGTGAACCAGGAGAATTTACCTCAGGATGCGACAGTGGCCGTTCCATGGAGGTTGGATTTGAGCCTTCGGACACCGGCCACAGAGCTCCACCAGCACCTGTTGAAGTTGTCAGGCAATGGCATCACCCAATTGGCACTCCTGAGGGTCCGGTTGGCGAACTTGCAGCGTTCGCCTCTCGCCAATGCAATCTCCCAACGCTTGTGGAGGCGACGACTTCGATCATGGCAGCCAGGCTGCTTCTTGCTCAGGTTTGGAATTGCACCATGAACTCGACCTTCAACACCGCAATTTGGGGTCCATGGGAACCACAACTGCTGAGCATGCTTGTGAGCCATGCAGGGGAGGTTGTGAATCCATGTGATGATTGCTTCTTAGGCCGCCTGCTTGCTGACTGGTTTGATACTCACTCCTTTTCAGATCAGCATGACGCCGGCGAATTTGCTGGCTGGTTCCGACAGAGGTTGCTAGAAAAGACCTTGCCGCATTACATGCAAGCAGAATGGAGTGCTAGACTCACGCATTCCATTGAAGACAAGGCCACTGTTTTTGCACCTGTCCCCTTGGCCTGTGCTGCAGAGGGTTCCGTGACATTGCAACAGCTCATCCTCACTTGGCACCAGCAAGAATCATTTGTCCATGCATTTACATGTGATTCACCATGGATTTGTCTCCAAATCTCTCGTTGTCCCACCATTGGCACCAAAAGCCATTGCTCGGTTGAATGGGATCGACGTGTCCCCCTTCAAGTGCCAGTGTTTCGTGCCAACCAAGGCCTTCAGGTGGAGTGGCATGATTTCGTTGTGACGGCCGGCATCACTCACAAGGGTGAGGCTCCGACTCAAGGGCACTACCAAAGTGGAACTGCCTTGGAGTGTGACGATCACCGATCAACCATGCCCCTCGGTTGTGACCCAATGCTGGCCAGATCCATCTACCTTCTTTGGATCGTGCCGAATCTTACTTGGCGCGACCACTTCGAAAGCCTCAGAAGAGTTTAGATGAGCTACTTGGCGATCGTTTTGCCTGACTGCATTTTTGACCACCTCTTTTCGTGAGATTGGCGCTTCGACACACCTGATGTGTCCGGATGGCTACACACCTCCGCAGCCCAACACGGGCGGCCTGAAGCGGCTGCTGGAAGATGAAATGATATTTAAAAAATATATATATATATATAATTTATATGATGTTTTTCGTTTTACAGATATCTTTTTTTATGAAGGATTCGAATATATAATGTAACCTTCAGCTATTCTACGAGGAATAGATTCAATTGGATTGAACATGGAAATCATAAATTTCCGGGAAGAGGGTAATTCTTCCTCTTCAACCTTTGCAAATATGTCATACCCTGGAGGCATGGGTTTTGCTTGCAGCACACGGAAGTAATGCTCCACAGCATATGATTGCTCATCTACGAAACGCCGAGTTCTCTGATTCCACAAAAAAATAACCTCATCTAAGAGAGGAAAGCCTGCAGCACATTTCAGGCACCCATGCCGATCACAGTCAAGGGCGCGACAATGGATACGAATCATATCATCGCCAAGCAAGGGCTGGTGTGAGGCTTCATTCACATCGAAAACATTGGATCGCGAACTGTCTTTTGTACTCTGTGCTTGTGAAAGCTGATTGATCTCCAGGGTTCCAACAATTGTGGGCACTGCCAGCAAGCCATAGCCCATCAGCATTGAGATCGAGGCAAAGATCTTCCCAAAGACGGTCTCCGGGACCAAATCTCCATAGCCAACTGTTGTCAGAGTGACCGTTGCCCACCACATTCCAGCAGGGATTGAAGAAAATGCAGATTTATCATTTGCACTCCGTTCAGCAGCATACAAGCATGATCCCAGAATCAAAACAACAGTGAACACACCAAATAGAAATACCACTATCATTCGCAGTTCTTTGCGAAGCGCTGAAGTTAGGGTTTGATACTCTTTGACAAACTGAAGAAGCTTCAAAACCCGAAGCATTCGAAAGCAGGACAAAACATGAAAGGTATGGGAATTTGTGAAATTGAAATGCTTGCGTTGAGTGAACTTTTCATAAAGGGTCGGCACCGCTGCTACACACACAAGCAAGTCAATGATGCCCAGAAAGGAAGTGACATAATTGCAGCACTTTTTCCTGTGCACAAAGAGCCGAAGAAAGTACTCCAAAATGAAGAATGTGGACGCCGTAACTTCGAGGTCAGTGAACACTTTGATGAATCCGTCGATGTTTCCATAGTGAGGTACTGAAAGCATCACAGTTCCAGCAACGCTTGACACTACCTCAAATGTGACAAGACACACCTGTTATGATGCTATATGAGCAGCGGACAAAATTACTTGTGTAGCCAAATACCATTTGACATGATTATCGTTTTTGGCGGGGCCCATATCGTTCTCCAATGTTTCTCCAAACCGTAGTTAGCATAGCATACCGGCACATAGACTAAAACACAGAATCCACTCACAACCTCAGATTAGAGGCTTACAGTGCTTTCTGCACAGGAACGATACAGCACTTGATCTATGTGCTGTACTTGAGTTCTGGGCTGTGCAAGGATCACAACACATAAGCGGGGACCTAGTGGCTCGGCCCATGAACAAACACTAGTAATGTGGAGAAGTAGGTTTACGGAGTGCCTGGCGTGACATTTAGGTTATCGTTCGCTTATCGTTTGGATTATCGTTTGGGAAGTTGTCTGGGATTATCATTGATGAAAAGTTGTGCCCATCGGTTTAGCTCACATAAACATGTAAATGGAATATCATATTGTAACCACAAACGTCTTTGTGCCCACTACATTTTAAAAAGGTTATCGTTTTTGGTGGGGACCATATCGTTTTCCACAGAAACAAAGCCCTCAACATAGGTTTCGGTTTAGGGTCATGCCGTGACTAAATAATAAGTCAACCAATAATTTTGTCCGTCGCTCATATCTCTTCGTGATGAATGCCCAGTCAAAACAAGGAAGCATTAGGCAGCAGCAGCAGCAAAAGCAACTGTTTGACGTGTCAAATACTTCAATACTTCGCTTGTGCATAAAAAAATACCAAAATTGCAATAATGCCCGAAGCGCAAGCACGCTTGACAGCAGGTTGAGAAGCAGCCAAGCCCACCGAGCTTGCCGGCTAGATGAGAGTAGAATATGTGCCACGCTGATCCGATTCAGGAAGGAAGGAGAACATTCATCCTGCGAGAAGTAGTGGAAACCTAATGGCGATGGCCTCCAACCTAATAGGATCGGAATGGCCTCTAACCTAGTAGCGATGGCCTCCAACCTGATAGCGATGGCCTCCAATAGAGACAACCGCATCATTGATGGCAGTTTCTATGCAAATTGCTTCCTCGAAATGAGATGTTGTACACACACTTCAAAATTTACGGCTATAGGCATCAGGTGATGGACAAGCTTTTTTCCATCTTCTTTCTAACTCTGTTTTGGCAAGGGATATAATATGTCCACAAATAATCTTGTAAGAATCTCTGCTGCTACTGTTATGCAATTGCGTTCTTGGAGCTTCTTGGCTCCAAATCAACAAAGGCCGGCAGTCAAAGGAACCGCATACTGACCCAGAAATATCTGTCATATCATGTACTTAGCTAGTTTCTAGTGCGAACAAGGCTCCAAATCAGATTCCGAATCAGAGGTAGTCGCCATCCTTGGATCTATTCCTCCATTCCCCTTTGTCCAACCTCTTCATAGAATCTGTCAAGACTTCCAATGTCCGCAATCGCTGCAAATGTCCGAGGCTGCTTTCAATGTGCTACAATGGCACGTGTAAGCTCGAGACGTTGGAGACTCAACTGTACTTGGCGAACCAATTCTGTGTGTCATGACGCGCAAAGGTAGTGGCGCTGGAAATCAAAGACTGTCCCAAAAGCTGTTCTAGTGGAAAACCACAAGGCAAACATAGTCAAACAATGCCTTATGATCTTATGGACTGGAAAACAAGCCTAGTCCTTGAAAAGCAGGTCTTACACTGCCTCACATACGTTTTGTGGGGTACGAAAGGAACAAAAGCAACACAGTGTGTCTAGGACCAGGACATGTTTTAGTCGTGAGCGAGCTTTTGCTGTTGCTAGTATCATCATGTACCATATTGCATCTACGTTTCAACCTTGAGAGGAGAGCTGTCGGCAATTGAAGATCTTGCATTGGACTTCAATTGTTACAGTATTTGGGCACGGTTCTTTTGCATCAAAGCTCTTGGCCGCCCAATGACTCCTGCAGTTCACAGCCATTGACGTCACAGCATTGCATACTGCAGGGACCCCGAGTCCTTGAGTTTATCTCGCTTTTTTTCCAGCTCCGCAGGTGTCAAAACCTGGCGCTAGCTCAAGGTTTCCACACAAGTGTAAAGTTGTAAGTTGTCCCGCAAATCTAGGAACCAACTAGGGAGCTTTGAAGCGGAGAGTGCGTTCTACGTAGTAGCTACTTCAATATACTACATCTATATGCTTACCCCTACCACTAGCTACTTAAGCCTACCGCACTACAGCCCGCCCCCCCTGAAAAGCATGGCATTCTTCCGATTCATTCCAATCCTCCGGACCTGTGCGTTGGACCCTGTGGTCTTGAGGTATTCCTGGACCGCTTCCACTCCGCCATCCTGTATCGAAACTGAGGAATCACTGGGAACTCCACTGTCCGCCATCCGGCACAGATTCGGTATGTTGGACAACTCAGCTCGAAGCCTCCGCTAGCTTTTGCAAGGTCTTTTGATCTGGAGGACGCTTCCTTCCGCCTCCGCCTTGACCACTTGCCTCAGTCTATCTATATAATCTATTTGACAATGTTCGTGAACAAATCTCGCAGCAAGGCAAAGCTGGAGAGTGAGGCTTGTCCTAATCTCAGCTCCAAGTTGCACATCTGAAGCCTGTGTTGTAGCTTCCACTGTCAGCAGTATTACCCATACGAGTCACCACAGTGGCCTGAGCCAAGCGTGCCCCCTGTAACAGTATATGTGAGTCTAAGCGAAGGTAAGAAAGCTGTTGAAAGCCTGAAAGGTCGAGGTTCATGTTGTTTTGTTCATCCGAAGTCAGACTGAGAATTTGCATCAAGAATTGAGTTTGGCGCCTTGTGATTGAATTCCCCATTGATGCTGTCGACAAAGGAACCGCCTTTTAAGATCCATTGCTCATCTTCACCTGGCCTGTTTACAGGGTCGTTGGCGACAATCAGCAAACTGTGACAAATTGATATGTCCATCTCTCACAAAATATCTGAGTGTTTCATCACTTCATGTCAACTGAAGCCACACGCCTGGTGAGAAAAGGATCCGCTGTCCATTCCCAAACATTGCCAACCTTAAACTTCCAGCTACATGACTGTTGAAGAAAGAAATTACTTACAGAAATTGGGCATACATTGCATACATAGTCACATAGTCACTACATAATACTACACAGTCATAGTCTTCTCGAACAAGACATAGTGTCATAGTCATGTCATAGTCCTTTCCAGTTGAGCAGCAGTTGAGTAAAGTCCGTAGGAGTTGGCTGGAAAGGCCTGACAGTCGGAACTGGAGAAAAGCATCAAGAAATTCAGAAAGGATGAAAAGGTACAACACCATTTTTTAAGCCCGGGGGAGGAGGGCTAGGCTGCTAGAGCTAGGTAGGTAGCTCGTAGGGAGAGGTAGCTAGTAGCTAACAAGTAGCTACTAGTATGGACACAGGATAGCTCACGCTTCCTTGAAGAAGCGCTCGCACTATTCATTTGGTTCTTAGATTTTTACGGACACTGGACAGTTTAACAGTGCAGGTCTTTTTGCGTATCTTACGGTCGAAAGCAACCACTTGAGAAATCTCAACAGTGATCTGCAAGCTGATTGCATGGCACGTTAAAGCTCTGTGAAAAGCTCTTTTGTTATCAAGTAAGTTTGATGCTTTTATATAGCTCTGGTTGCATTTCCACCATGTGGACCGGAACATTCTGACTGTGCTTTCTGGGCAAGCTATGTCTTCAGTACTATGACTTGAATCTGACGTGAAGCAATCTTCTGCATTTTCAAGGACGCTACTAGGGGCTCCTGGCCTTACTACTAGGAGCAAGAAGCTACTAGGGGCTCCTGGCACCGGTAGGAGCAAGGACGCTACTAGTATTTTCATGTATTTTCTCATCGGGAAAACTGGATGACTGTCGAAACATTGGACACAAACTCGATCCCACCTTCACTGGGCTAATCCCATGGTAGCCATCCTTTCCACGCGATGACCATGACAAAAGACCACAGGCATTGCGGCATAGGTGATACTGGCATATACTATCAAGCAGTCAATCATTATTCTATGTGATTCTATTGTATTCCGCAGAACATTCAACATTCTCCACAGCATTCCGTGCAAGTTTTTGCAATTGCCTCCCTCAGGTTCTCAAAGGGGAAGCGCCCCTGCCAAATGTTCATCATCCACCTTGCAGAAGGCAGCTTTTCCAACACAAACGCCAGTGACAAGGATATGGGCCTTCCATCACGACGAACGTCTGAGCCATCCCAGGGATACAGGGACCTGGGGCAACTCTGCTGGGCAACTCTCCACCCTGCCTTGCGCACTTTCGACTGCGCATGTCTTTTTTTCAAACCAAACAGAGACATCCACGATTCTACTTTCTGACAGATGTCGCTACTAGTAACAAAGGGCATCGCTACTAGGAGCAGGGACGCTACTAGGGGCTCCTGGCCTTACTACTAGGAGCAATGTTCGCTATTGGACACAAGAATTGTCCACCCTTGCCTTTCTGAGAAACCGAGAAGTCGGCTCTTTTCGCTTCCCCCGTGCTGCATTTTCCCACTCGGCCTGCAAAGGTCCATCAATGAAGTTCAGAACACGGTCCGGCCATTTCCGATCTGCCTCCGTAGGCAATCGTTTGCCTGCCCATTTGCAGTAGGCCTTTAGTGTGTACATGTTGGATGTGCGTGCTTCTTGCGCAGGTGCTGTTGGCACCGAAGACTTCGTTGCTCTGCAAACTGTGATATGTTCCACTGCGCTTGACTGTGCATCAAGCGTTTGGCTGTCGCATCATTCCAGCTGATGTGCACCGCGGGATATTCTTTCCACCTCTCCTTCAAGGATGAGTCACGCCTCACTGCGAGCTTTCTCCAGTTCAAAACTCTCCCAGATAGCACCGGTTTGGTTCTGACACTGGCAAGCTTGCAAGGACTGCAGGTTTGGTGAACGGAAAGAGTTGAGAGCTGAGCCCCTCTGGATGCCGCCACCAGGCATGAAGGACAGCCACCTCAGCGTTGCAAAGATCGGAATCCTCAGATTCCGGAGCTGTTTCGAAAACACTGAAAAACTCAAATTGACTCAAGTAGCTAACTTAGCCTAGTAGCGTGTTTACTCTTCCTTACTTAATTAAGGAGGGCAGCGCAGAGCGGGCCACAACAAAATCACGACTGGATGCAGGATAGCTCACGCTCCTTCAAGGAAGCTCCCCCATGAGGGCAGGGGGGGAGATTCCTTGAAGAAGCGCTCGCACTTGTTTAGGGAAACTTAACTTCAGGGTGTTCTCAAACGTCAGTTTCCGGCCCAGTGAGGTGCATCCTGCCACAGGCTTGACTCTCACATAGCTTGACTTGGAGAGGCATGGGTCACTAATTGTCACGAGCAGATCAGATGCGCAGCCGATTCACTGAAATTCTTGCCGACACTGAAAAATGCATG